TTTATATATATATATATATATAAATAAAACTGTAACTGGAGCGTGTAACAAAAGTAATTTCCCTCTGGGATTATTAAAGTATTTCTGATTCTGATTTTAAGGAGTCTGCATCACTTGTGGTCAGTGACCAACCAGTGAGAGAACTTCCAATTCTTCCACTAATCCCACCATCTTCATGAACCAAACATCATTTGCTGATACCGACTCAGGCAAGCAAATTATGCACAATGAGTAACGCAAATTCAAAACTGCATCAAACAGAAATAGGCTAACCTGAGCCACTCTAACTATAAGCTTTATTGAAAAGGAAAGAAAAATGACCTGCAAGCTTTCATACAGTAAATTAAAGGTGTTTCCTTCTGTTTGTGAATCTACATTAAACAGTTTTATTTTTAAGCTGAAATCTTAATCAAAGTTTAGTTTATGTTTCCAGTAGCTCAGACTCAGACCTTCTGGCTGCAGCTCGTTATCCAGCAGGCCAGATATCAGCCTGCTGCTCTATATTTGCCCATCAGATGGAGCGCTTTGCTTTACATAACATAACCAGTTTGTCTCACACTGATCTCCACATGAGAGCAGAAGGCTCATAAATAACAATTTTAGGCTCATAATGAAAATAACACCAGATTCAGCATTAAAGGCTCATCTGGAGTCCCAGCTGTCTGCTCTTCTGTGTGCATCGAGTGACTTAAACTACCACTGAAAATCTGTATTTAACATCTTCAGATGATACAGTCAGATAAATATGAGTGCAAGATGTTCTATGCATATATTTAGTAAAAAGAAAAAAATAGATCAATTAAATGAGTGGTAAAATACAGAATGTATAAATGCTTGTCTGCATGCCTAATGAATTAAAGGACTGTTCAATACATTTAAAAACACACAACTATATGGGAGTAAAGAAGCCCTAATGTGATTTATTAATGGCTCTAAACAGAAGCATGGAAACTCAAAGAAATGCACTGAAATGTTTTATTGAGATACGTAGGCAATTTACAGCTCTATTGCTCTATATGAATGCAGAGAAAACATCTAGAAAAATCCAGTAAACATTACATTTCTTTCTACTCAAATCATGGTTTTTCTTTGTTTGTAAAAATGATTTTAAGCAAAAATCGCCCAGTTTATGTAAGGAATTAATATTTCAATTCACAGCAGGAATCAGATCCAACTTTAACTTTTTTACAATGCTCAAATATTTCCATGTGCTTTTAAAAAAACAGAGGACATCGACCAGACGATTTAAAAAAATATTGCTATAGTTAATTTAACAGGGGTATATGAGCGAGAAAATATCCACTGTAAGATATAAGGAGGGTTTAAAAGCATCCCTTTACTGTACAAGGCAAAAATATTAGGTTAAAAAGAGGGAGGAGCAGAGCATCCATCGCTGAGGTCGGTGCTCAGTCAGAATATATTCACAGATTTACAATTATAAACCCTTAAAAGAAGATAAAAGGTTTAAAAAAAACTATAAACTCCCAGAACATGGTGCTGAAAACCAGGAAATAAACTATTTAATTAATATAATAACGAATAATGCATCTCAAAGTGTCCTCAAACTACAAACAAGTATTGACTTGTTTCCCCCCATCATAATTTACAAGAAGGTAACAATGTTCAGGTGCACGCCTCCAAAAGTGCTCAGAAATAGTGTAGTTATTCATTAAAAAAAGAAAATCAACAAAAATCAAACAGCTATTGGTGATAATTTAAAGAACAGGTGCGTTTTTTCTATTAATAAATATCCGGCAGCTGGCTGTAGTTCCTATCCCAGTATCCACCAGCGAAGAGCCAGTCCTGGGAGCGGGTGTGGGGGTTTGGCCCCTGCTGGAACCACCTGAGAACAGAGCGGCGGCATTTAGAGAGCAGAGCAGCGTCATGAAATGAAACTCAAACAAATCAAAGAAAGAGGGGAATGAGGGGCAGGCAGGGTTTATCTTCAGGATATGGAGGCTTATTTAGGAGACATCAGGCTGTTTGCTCTAAGCTAACGTTAGTAAAAAACATCAGGAAGACATGCGGATGTGGAGGGAAGACACCTGTAGTGTTTGATTAACGGCTTAGTGAAGGAAAACGCTATGACGCCAACATCAGCAGCTCTTTAATATACAGATAACATTCACAATAAGAGATCAGGATGTTTATGAGAACACAGAGAGTCACATGAACACATTAAAGTTGTCAAAATGAGCGAGTCAAACGGCGAGCGGCGCTAACCTCGGGCCAAGGGGGGGACTCCTTTCATCAGAGCCATTCAAGCAGCAGCAAAATGGGGAAGAAATGGAGATAAAATGGAGTTAAGCAGGAATGATTCAGAACAAAAGAGCGAAAAACAATGAAAAAGATGCTTCCAGCCAGAGAAATGATCAAACGCTATGATATCCACTCTGATTACGTCTGTTCACAATCAATCATCTGGTTCGTTTATGCATAAAATGCCAGCATGAAAGCCTGAGATTTACTATATATATACATAAGATAAGGTTAAACCTTACTTGGTCTTGTGCTCCTCATCAGATTTGGAGCGGTTTTTACGAGCAGCTCTCTGCTTCTCCTCCAACCTCTTCTTTTCTTCACTTGCAAAGTCTGTTGGCGACATTACACTCAATCTTTTATGTTCATAAAAAGAGAGACTCTGCTTGAGTTTTTTTTTTTAATGAAGTCATCACCGATGTCGCCGTTTTCCATGGCCCTTATGTCCGGCCTGAGCCTGCAGTCGGTCTGAGGAATGACTCCCTCCATGTCCTTACTCAGCTCGTTCAGCTGCATGGCGAACGATGTGAAGCTGTACATCTGGTTCCATAGAGCAGTTCAATGTTAAAGCAGCATATTGAATTTAAGACGCTGAAATGTTACCTTATGTAGGATTTAATGAAACCTGGGCAGAGTTTGCTGGTCTGGGTGCAATCCTCCACAGCAGCTGGCTTCCAGGAATCACATCCACAGTGTCTGCAGCAGGTGAGGGAACACCCTCCTGATCCCCACTGTTACCCTAAGCAAGCAATAGAAAGACCTCAACATGATGGACACCAGGGGTCTGCAGCCTGTGGCCCCGGAGCCACATGTGATTCTCTGGGTCCTCTAAATGTATAAAGAACATTTGAACTGAAGTTTCACAGTAAAAGCAGCAGAAATATTTTTTTAGAGATATTTCTCTTAAAATTAGGTTGGAAATTATGGGATTTAAAGGAAAAGTCGCTCATATTCAGAATTCAAACTTCTGAAAGTTCTTTGAATCTGAAATGATTCCATCCTGTTCAATAAATGATCAGTGTTTTTAATTCAGAGTAATTTTCATGTGAATGTGCTTTACTGGAGGCATCCATGTTTGTCAAAGAACACTACTGCCACCTACTGGTTAGTGACATTGTCACGGTGCGGTATCGGCTGTTGATCAAGTCCCAGTGCTGTATCTGGTGTTTGTCACAACGCGCTATTATCCAAGTCATCTTGAAAACATTCTTCTTCCAAATGTTGGCTACATATTACGGGTTTTTTCTCTGGCCAGAAGTTCGATGGCAAATCCTCCCTCTTCAAGTTGGCGATCCAACGACCAACCCGTCCGTGGAGGATCAGGAATCAGAAAGGTGGAATAACTCTTTTTTTCACTTTTACCCGATGTATTCCAGCATCCAGCTGCCATGCACGTGGGCATTGTCAGTTTCACTATAGCTCTGGTGAATTTCAATGGTGAAGTCCTCTGGAAATCTTCAATAATTGTTGTTGATTGCAGATGTGTCTAGTAGTTCCCATTGATTTAGCTTGGAAAGCGGGGAGAATGGCGCTAGGCTTACCGCACCGTGACGTCACTGCTGGAAGATGGCAGGAGGGAGGGGCTACTATATTTGGGCAAAAATGGCCGCTCCCAGACTCAGTGATCGCAATGAAAATTATCATTTTTATTTTTCACCTGTTAACGCTTAACTAATGAAATCTCAGTGAACGTATTAGTCTTAGGTATAAATAATGATCCATTGATTCTTCCTGCTGACCAAATTTTTCATTTAAAATTATCATTTAATTTTATATCAGATAATTCCCAATAAAAAATAATCCAGGCTTCATCTTTATGAATAATTTTATGATTTTACTAATTTTAAAAGCTAAAAATAGAAAAGGAACTGTCGGCTGTTTAAGGCGCAACAGATTTCCTATGGCGGGAATCTAACAAAAATCACCGGTTGTGTTTTTATTTATTTCGTGGCCCTAAATGACTTTCATTTAGCTGGACTCAGGGCAAAATGGCTCTTTGGATACGTAAGGTTGCAGACTCCTGATATTTACTGTACAGGTATTTTTTTTCATATTTTTCTAATTAACAAACAGAAATGTAATCAAGTGGGTTTTAAGTTCAAGGCCCTCAAACAAGCAGAGAACAAAATCAGGTGAAATGTGTTTTTATTTGGTCCTTCAGCTCACACTGCAACAAAATGTAAAGCTAAATAAGTCATTTTTTATTAAAATAAGAGCATTTTATCTTGAACTGAGGAGGAAGGTTTGACACTTTGCCAATGGATCAAGACAGATTACATTTAAAATAAGAACAAACAATTGCATTTTGCATATCATCTAATTATCTTATTCTAAGGGTAAAAAAATCTTATTCCATTGGCAAATCATCGTATTTACATACTCAAATTAATGGTAAATACCCTTAATTTGAGTAATTATTTTCTTATTTTTGCATTGTTTTTGCAGGGCATTCTCTATATAAGGTCCTTTTGCTGGAGTCTTGGTTGAATGTCTTCTGAGGCAGCTTTCTACCAGCTTTACCCATTTAGACGATGACGTCTTTTACCCATTTTTCTTTTAAAAATAGCTCAATCTCAGGCGGAATGGATGGAAAGTGTCTGTGAGTTCTAGTCTTACACAAATTCAGGTTTTATTTGTAAGACTTGTGATAAACCGTGTTTCACTTCTCTTCCATTTCACAACTATGCATCACTTTGTGTTGGTAAGAGGAAGTTTTTAGTAGGGTGGGAATACTTTTACTTTTACTTCGTTTTTTCATCAAAGGTGAATACACATATTTCAGGTGTGTGTTTAAGGTTTTTTATCTCAGTTAAAACAATGGTTTTAACCTAGAGGGGCTGAAGACTAGGGTTGCCAACCATCCTTTGAAAAACGGAATTGTTCCGTATTTAGAAATAGAAGTACCTGTCCTGTATTTAGTGGAAAAGAAACGCACTTTGTCCCGTATTACTGAGAGAGTAAAAACATAGTCAGTAACAAGCTAATGGAAAATGAAGCACCAAGGGCAC